TTTCTTGATAGGAAGTGACTCATATCTTGTCTTACATCACTTGACTTGACCTCAACCATTTGATCTTCGACCTCAAGATCCAGAATAATGGAGTGTGTAAAAAATAAATAAATAAAGGGAAGAGAAAAAGAAGTACAAACCGGTTACAAAACTCTGCTAAAATTGCTACATAACGCAAAATGACTACATCTTATCAAAAACTTAACACCAGCCAAGTTACATGGTGTATTTATAAAGACCCAATTCTTAACAAACATGAAAGCAATCGTAAACCCTCCTAAATAATAGGAAAGTAACCTAAGATCATGTGGCACAGAAGGATTTGAGAGTAGTATAGATTGACTGAATAGTACTCCTTTTCTTAAAGTCGACAAGACTGAACAAATAATGAATGCAACCAAATATAGTAATTAGGTTTTAATTCGACCGGTGGAGTGGATACTGGTCTATGTGTGGAACTTGTGCTTTGTTTTTGGTCTATGTTGATTTTTTCAAACTGCAAGTTCTTTTCTCATCAGAAAAGAAATATCTCATTACTCATCCCCAACTACAGATGTCTCTAGGAAGTGTAGGTATTCTTGTTGACGTCAAATAGGAGAGAAACGGCATTCACTAGTCTTACTTGGTTGATATGACTCTTCGACACTTGGTACACCCGATTCTTCTACACTTAATGGATTTCTGTTTAAGAAGTTGAGGTTCCACCATAATATCGTAGTAGTCACATGCACTCCACGTCGCTCCGTTGTTTGTCCATATGTTAGGCTTGAAATTTTTTCCGCAAAAAACAGAAGAAAAAAAAAGTTAATTTTTGCATATATGTAACACATTTATAGTTGATCTCATGAGTTCCTTCCGTAAGGGTTTATGATATTTGTATTGACACTCTTGTAAGGTTTTATCATATTTATATGGCTAATTGCAAGACTTATCAACTTCACATTTGGGTACTTCTAAATGTGTTGGACCTTCATGCTTGAAATCTTGATTCAAAAATATGTAATTTGTATTGGAATGAAAAATTAAACAAAAAAAAAAAAAACAATGTTAATGGGTGACTCATGAGCTTAACAGGTTAAGTTTGGATGACTTATTAGCTTAACGAGTCGGGGATGACTCATTAGCTTAACGGGTCAGGTGAAACATGACCTAAACCCAATAAACCGAACCCGTTTACAGGTTACCAGTAGATAGTAAAGGGGATGAGAGTTTCAGACTCTCAGCATCAAATTATTAGTCATCAGTTTCAATTCCTGCATTGGCTTGAAGTGCAATGGATTTGAGGCCCGAAATTTTTATTCGATACCCAATTTCTTCATCATTTTAGGACTTTCAAACTCCTAACATCTATTAAGTCAAGAGTGCGGTGTAACGAAATTTATCATGTTGGATTTAGTCTATGTTGCATTTTTCAAACTACAAGTCCTTTTCTTGAGAAAAGGAATATCTCATTAACTCAAGAGAAAGCAAGGAAGAGGAGAAATACTTCGAGTTGGAGTTGAGGCTCCAAACATAGGAAAACTGTAGAAAAACGTATTTGACTCAATTGTACTTTTCATTCATTCTCAAACTGTAGAAAAACGTATTTACTCTTTTATATAATGAGCCTAATGCTGAAACGTTAATGAATCCATGTAGAAGATTTAATAAGCCTAATTGTTCATTGAACCTAATTAACTAACATTCCCTCTCAAGTTAGAGAGTGAAGATCCACAACTCCCAACTTCCGTATCATAATCGAAAATTTTAAATTTCGTCAGGTAAAAGCTTAAGCATTGAAAACTTACTTTTACCTGACGAAACGGTTTCGTCTAAAATGGTGTTTTCTTGTAGTGATATCAAGTAACTCCATAACAATAATCTTTTGAATTTTTGCACTCTTAGCTATGTATGGAAGTACAAAGTGACACAACTATTTATAGACGGGTAATGCTTGACAAAGGAATACGTATAGGGTGGACTAATATATATAAAATATATATGTGTGTGTCCATAAATTCCTTACCACATCAACCTTGACCCATTGGAATCTATAAATTTGAATCTAAATTCCCATGGCTAAACCAAATTCTTTACAAACACTTATCAGCTGCTAATTATTAAACTGACCAACTATGATTAGTGTGATGAGCTGAAGGATACAAAATATGTGTTATATAATTATGGTTGTTTAGTAAAACTATAACACAGCTAATGTTTCTCTCGCCTATCTTTTCTCACAATCTAATAAGTGGACTAAATGATTTAAGCAGTTAGTGAAAGAACATATGTAGCTTGTAATTTGACTAATTTACCCATGTTCGGAGAAATTTCACAGGCCTTTGTAAGATTTCACTTTAACAAAGAGAGCTCCAATAACCTTCTAAAACATTTAAGCAAAGCACATATCACAAAAAATGAACCTGAATGGGGAAGATCATCATAAGCTAATATGGACCATGTATAAAAGAGATAAATAGGAATTAAGGATGTGTGAATGGATACCAAGCAACTAAAAAGCTTCTAATGGGTCTTTTCCTTCAAATAATGATTGATAAGAAACAACCATTCTTCATGAGGAAGCAGGTAATGTATTGTGCACCCTAATCTATTGTCCTAACAACCATAATACATAGAAATTTGTGGTGCTCCACTGCACGTATGCAGCAGGCTTTTAAGCATATCAATATTTGCATAAGAAGAACCAACAAACAGAGAGACGAAACACCTAAATTTAGAACGATTGGTTTTAGGGTGGAATTCTAATTTTTTTCATGGTACAGAGCATGTCGTCCCACGTGTGAAGCCAAATGGCCACACGCATTTCACGTTATCCTGTTGTGTGTTCACGTGTTAGGCTTGAAAATTCACCACACATGAAAGAGTGTGTTGAGAATGAGTTCCACGTCAATGAGAGGAGGGACCTTGCATGAGCTTATAGGAAATTAAGTTATTCCTCGTATTACCAATTGATTTTATAGTAAAACCTCACATTTTTTTCAAAATGAAAGCTTAACAAAAAAAAAAAAAGGGATAAAAAACACCTAAATTTACAGAGATAATTTAAAACATGTAAATAAGAAATTGAAAAGTAATCTGCAATTTGGTTTCTTCAGAAGCAATGAGAAAAAGAAAACGGGAGAATGAGACCAACACAGAGAAGAAAACATCCTTTTTACCCCTAAGTTGTGCGCGACGTCCTACTTCCTTCCCTTCTTCGTTTTGGCAGCCTTCCCCTTCATTCCTTTCATTCTTCGTATTTTCTCCCCCGCGCTGTCTCACTTTCAGAGTCTGTAAGACTCACTCACGACTCAGCAGCTGTTCAGCCTGACTTGTGCCTCATCTCAGCCTCACTCAGTCCTTCCTCGACGTCGACCACTCGCCCACCTCACACACCCTCGCGGCCCACAAGCTTCCTCTCGCCGTTTCGAGTCTCGACAGCCCACCGTGATTCCTCGATTCCAAAAGGTTAGTCTTTGTGCTGGATTAAAATTTGGATCCACAACTATAGTTGGTCTTTCTGCTGATTAAAATTTGGGTCACAACTGTGTTTTTTACGATTAGGGATTTGAATTGGAAACCTTATCTGTCATTTCTGCTTTGACAGTTTTGTTTCTCTATTTGTAAATATGAATTCATCACGCAAAAACACAAAATGGTTTTGTTATTTCCCATTAATTTTCTTGTTAAAATATGTCAATAATATGAAGAGAGTTTTAATGAAAAATATGTGGTACCGTTTACTTTAATGAAAAATTACATTTTTACATTAAAAAATCAAATATAGAACTATTCACTTTACCTTTTATTTTGTTCTTAATGTTAAAACTCAAAATTTTCAAACCATTTTTATTAATTTTCTTAATATGAAAGGTTTTGTTATTCGCCAATGTGGGACTTTCGCCTTCACCTCTTCACGTGTACCAATCACTTGTTTTTTCCCCATTAATTTTCTTGTTAAAATATGTGAATAATTTTGAAAAATGGTACATAAAAGTACTCTTATAAAGTTATAATATCCTTCACATGAAAAGGTTTTTTTGCAAGAATAAAAGGTTTATTGTCCTTTGCACGACAAAAGAGAAATTAAGTCACAATGAGCAAGAAAATTATTGAGAAGAATATATAAGATAGATATTTATATTAATGATAACATTATTATTTCATCAATGATGTAACACAAGTTTTAGGGCTAACAACTTTGATGTTTTCTGTTTCTGCGCTTCAAGTCCACCAGCCCTTTTGCATTTGTTGCCTATTGCACAACTGATGTATTCAGTTTACAAGTTGTTCCTACAAAACCAGTTCCCTTGTAATCAACGATTCTCATTCATTCCCTCCGATGATTGGAACAAAATGTAGTACAAATTTCGTAGCTCTGGTTTTAGAATTTTAGACAATTCTTGCTATAAACATTACTCTTAAATAAGTATTCTTAGTTACTAAGGCATAGGAAAGTTTCGATTTCATTTGATTGAAAAGATTGTCTCCAATTAATCGAATGAATAAGAATCCTTTCAAATGAACATAGCTGCTTTCATTCTAATTTTAGAAAATCCAAATCCATGAAAACATGCAGCACTCTACTACCTTTATTTACATTACTTTCTATCTCCATTTAGTTGTTAAAGAAGCCCGACAGTACAAGCAAATTGATATAACTTAAAAACAATATGATATATAGGGCTGAGTCTTGAACTTGAACAACACAATCAACTAAAAGCTAAAAAGCACCAATACCTTCTATCTTTTTTTCTTTAAAGAAACCTCGACGGTACGAGGGAAAATTATTTGAATAAAAAAAAAAGTTACACCTAGTCTGGGGGACATAAACCTTACCCTTCAAAATAAAGAAACCGAAAGTACAAGAAAATAGGAGGGACATACACTTACATAACCTGACACAAACTTATAACTAAACATATAGAAAGTGAAGAAAAGAAACCACAACAGAGAAAACAAACGACAACAAGAAATGCGTAACGGTAACAAACTGAATTTCTACTTCCCCCACTAGTACTCTAAATTTTCCTTATCATTTGCCTGATCATTCCAACAATCTTAAGAAACAAGTCGGGCCTCCTTGTGATCACAACATCCGCAAGAACTACTCCCACTACCAACCCACTTCCACATCCGGCCGAAACAATTTTCCAATCCAATTCAAATATGCCTTCTGAGCTAGAATCACCTTCGTCGATGGTTGAAGGTGGAAGTTCAGGGGCCTTAGGATCTCCACATTTCTTTGGCAATGGATCTCCACACAACCCTGGGTTTCCCTCGTATGAAGTGACATTCAAAGAAGTAAGCTGGGTTCCTTGTGGTATAGAACCTGTGAGATTGTTGTGAGACACATTGAAACTGGAAAGAAAATTAAGTTGCACCAGCTGTTGGGGGATACGTCCTGAGAGCTTGTTTTGTGAAAGGTCCAACGATTCAAGCTTCATCAAGTTTCCAAAGGATGATGGGATAGAACCAGTGAGAAAGTTGTGGGATAGATTCAGCGAACGAAGCTCCTTAAGATTCCCGATGAATTCTGGAATTTTCCCTTCAAATTTGTTGCATGAGATATCGAAGGATGCGAATTCTTCTCGAATCTTTGGGTAGTGTTGCTCCAAGCCTTTTGTTGCTATAGTGAGTTGGTAATCAACACTGTTAACAATCGTGAATCCATTGACATCATAAACTACGTCTGTGTACATATATGTTGACTTGTTTACAGTAATATCTGGAAACACAGATGGAACCGCACCAGTAAAATCATTGTAAGCCAAATCAAGAATGCGTAACTTAGGGAAATCGACATTCTTTCTAGACTTTCCAATCACACCGTGGAATCCATTATGGCGCATTGCCAAAAGTTTTAGCTCTAGAAGAGTCCCCAACCAAATGGGGAAAACATCATTGAATCGATTGTTTGACAAAACAAGATACTCAAGCATTATACAATTGACCAATGACCTCGGCAACTGCCCCTGCAACTTGTTATGACTCACATCAATCATTCTCAACTTGCTTCCTTTGTTGTATGTCTGAGGAATAATTCCGTGAAAAGAGTTGTTTCCAAGAAGTAAAAGAATCAGATCATCACTAAAGTTTCCGAGACATTGAGGAAGCATGCCACTCAAGTTATTTTTCGACAAGTCAAGATACTGAAGATTTTTCACATTGCAAAGCGACGGTGAGATTTCTCCAGTAAAGTTGTTGTCTGCAGCTGCATATTCTCGCATGGTTGGTGGAGGTATCGGTAGTGATCCATGAAACATGTTGGCCGAAAACCTTATACATAACAGTTTCACCCAAGGAAGGACAAGTGGAGGTTGGTCTGAAATGAAGTTACTAGAAATGTCTAACAATAGCAAAGTTTCTATGCTTGTGTTCCACATCCATTTTGGTACTTGGCCTCGGATTTTGTTTCTAGAAAGGTCCAAACGCTCCAAACGTTTCTGATATTGTAAGAAAGATGGAAACTCTCTTATGTTGCAAAAACTCAATCCTAGAATGGTGAACTGCGGAACTGTTGAATTCACAATTCTCGATTCAGTGACAAAATCTATACTGTTCCAATTTAATTGGAGTTGGTAAAGAAATTGTAGATTTTGAAACATTTGAAACTCTACTACACCACTCAGACAATTGGAATGTAGATAAAGGATCTGAAGGTTTGTGAGATTGGAAAATGACGCAGGAATTGAACCATTCAGTTCATTAAAAGCAAAATCTAGGTACTCTAGTTTGCTAAAGTTGCCTAGCCAAGATGGGATTGGACCAGTTAATCGATTCATAGTGCTACTAATCCTAAAAGTAGCCAGTTGGGTAAGGTTTGCCAAGGAATCAGGAATTGGACCTCCAAATCTGTTGTTTGAAATGTCTAGATAAGTGAGCTTCCTAAGATTCCCAAGTGCAGATGGAACCAACCCTTCCGAAAAATTGCATTGAGCCACATCCAACTCTTGCAGTGAATCAAGGTTTCCAAACGAAGAGGGTATGTTCCCGAAAAACCTGGTATAGGAAACTTTCAGAAGCATGAGAGGACTACTTCGATTAAATTCAGGAAAATATCCAGTCAGATCTTGGTTGTATCTCACACTAAGAAATTCTAGGTTTGGTAGTTGGAAAATTCTCACAGGAAATTCACCAAACAGGTGACAGTCTTTGAGGGAGAGGGATGTCAATGATGATAAATTAGCCATTGAATGAGGAATTGCCGAAGATACATTTACGAAACTGAGAGTAAGTACTTCGAGACTGGTTAAGTTTTGAACTAGGCTTCCAAGATCTGATGCTTCAAGTTTCAACAAGGGATAATTCTCCTCTTTTGACAACTGATGATCCTTATCTTCTGACAATCTATCGAGATTGAGAGCTAGATTAAGGTATGTCAACTTGGATAACAGTGAAAGTTCAGAAGGGACTCGACCAGAAAAGACAGAGGTAGAGAGGTCAAGATGAGTAAGGCTTGGAAAATTCCTAATGCTAGTAGGAATTTGAGAGTAATTGAAGTTATTGTCAGAGAGGTTTAACCTTTGAAGATGAACAAGGCGGAAGAGGCTGCTATTGCTGTTGATAGAGCCGTGGAGACAGCTGCTACGAAGATCTAGGCCAATCACATGACCCGTCTTCTCATCACACTTGACACCTTCCCATAAGGAGCAGGTGCTATTTCCTCCTTCAGCTGGTTTCCATGATGAGACCTTCGGATAAGCATCGGTAGATCTAGAAGCAGATTTGTCAATCGTAAAGCTGTCTTTGAATTGCAGCAGGGCGGACTTCTCCTCATCAGGGCAAGATGGATACTGCTTCTGCGAAGAGTAGGAAGAGTTAGCAATAACCACATGATGAAACAGCAACAAAACTAGTACTAGTTTTGAAACCATGCGAATGATGGAGATATCAAGTAACCCCATAACAACAATCTTTTGAATTTTTTTTGCACTCTTAGCTGTGTATGATGGAAGTGCAGAGTGATATACAACAATTTATAGACTGGCATCGATTAGTATAAAATTCTTCCACAATATAATTTCTCAAAAGTGATAGAGACGGGTGTAGAAGGGACAAGTTGATATGATGCCTTGACTAATTGATGAGAAAAATCAAAAGTTAGAAAAATCAGCAACACCATTCAAGAAACAAGTCGACTTGATGAGAAAAAGAAAGGGGTGTGATGTTCACACACCCTATTTTACTTCTCACACACCCTTTTAATTTTCTACCGTCAAATTAGATGAATTGAAGAAGATCAACGAACAAAAATTAACAAGGGATGTGTGAGAAGTAATATGGGATGTGTGGATAGCACACCCAAAAGAAATACAAACCAATCACAAACTTTGCCAAGATGGTTACGAAAGGCAAAAAGAGTGCATCGTACCAAACTTAACTCCAGCCAAGTTACATGGTGTATTTATAAAGATACAATTCTTAACAAACATGAAAGCAATCGCAAACGATCCTGAATAATAGGTATTCTTGTCGACGTTGAGTAGGAGAGAAACGTCCTCCAACTTTGCATTTGGATAGTTCTAAATGTGTTGGACCTTCATGCTTGAAATCTTGATTAAAATATGTGTAATTTGTATTGGAATGCAAAATTAAACAAAACAAAAAAAAATGTTAACGGATGACTCATGAGTTTAATAGGTTGAGTTTGGGTAACTCATTAGCTTAACGAGTCGGGTGTGGGTGACTCGTTAGCTTAAAGGGTCAGGTGAAACCCGTCTCAAACCCAATAAACCCAACTCGTTTACAGGTTACCAGCAGATAATAAGGGGTATGAAAGTTTCGGACTCTCAGCAGCAAATTAAGGCATTAGAGTCATCAAATTCAATTCCTGCATTGGCTTGAAGTGGGATGGATTTGAAGCCAAAACTTTTTATTCAATATCCAATTTCTTCATCATTAGGACTTTCAAACTCCTAGCATTTATTAAGTCAAGAGTGTGGGTGTAACGAAATTTTTCATGTTGGATTTGATCTATGTTGCATTTTTCAAACTGCAAGCCCTTTTGTCATCAGAAAAGAAATATCTCATTAACTCAAGAGAAGGCAAGAAGGGACTTCCACTTGGAGTTGAGGCCCCAACCATAGGAAAACTATAGAAAAACATATTTGGCTCAATTCTACTTTTCATTCATTCTCAAATGTACAATATATATATATATATATATATATATATATATATATATATATATATATATATATATATATATATATATATATATATATATATATATTAAATACAACTATATGGATTATTTACAAATGCACGCCATTTACTCTTGGGTGGTGCTATCTATACACCCATTTTAACCTGTTACACATCACTCTCAATTTTTGGCCGTCAGATCATGTCAATGGTAGAAGATCAATGTACAAAGATTAACAATGGTATGTGGGAAGTAAAATGAGTTGTGTAAATATCATTACCCTTACTCTTTCATACAATTAGCGTAATGCAGAATAGTCAATGAACCCATGTAGAAGATTTAATGAGTTCAATTGTTCAATGAACCAAATTAACTAACACTCCCCCTCAAGTTTTAAATTATGTCGAATAAAAGTTTAAGTGCTCAAAACTTACTTTTACCTGACAAAATGATTTCATCTCAAAAGGTGTTTTCTTATAGTGATATCAATTAACTCCATGACAATAATCTTTTGAATTTTTTAGTTTTGCACTCTTAGCTATGTATGGAGGTACACAGTGACATAACTATTTGTAGACTAGCATCAATATAAAATTATTCCGCAATATAATTTCTAAAAAGTGATAGAGACGAGTGTAACGGGGATAATTGCATCGCATTTCTTCTACATGCGTAAGAAGAGATGCTCGTGACTAATTGATTCATGAGTTAACTTTTGAAGTCGTCTTCAATGTTTGAAATGGCGTGAAATCAGAAGTTAACAAAATGAGCAGCACCATACAAGAAACAAGGCTCGATAACGCAGCACAAGAGTAGAAAGATTACAAATATAAATCCTTGAAGAACCAAAGTTTTTGAAACCCACCAGTTTGATAGAAACTCTAGAGGATAATTTGATTAATTGATCAGTTGATGATTACAATGGATAACACCCATGATTTAAATAAGTCATTTACAACACTTTTGGACAACTAAAAAGGTTTAGGGAATTAAAACGAAAGTAAATGACAATAATTGAACGACAATTAAAAGTCCGAAACTTATTACAAACTTTATTTTTGCGGTTTTGGAAGCCTAATTCCTCTTAAACACGACGGGCTCATGATATCATTCATCTTGTTGTGCTCGAGATTCTCTTCAAAACAACATATTATACACCTAATTATGAAACTGGATATTTCTTGCTGCTTTTTCTATCACCATATTTATTAAATCCAATATTTCCAACTTTAGTACTTGTTACACCTCACCCCCAATTATATGTATAATTTCGTAAGTTCCCTAACATTTTAATGAAACTTCATTTTGGTCCCCTATTTTGAGTAAATCTGGACCCTTTAATGAAACTTCATTTTGTACTTACCTAGTGGTCCTTTCCGCTACAGGACATAGGGATAGATTCCGGTCCGTCCAGGACGACGGTTTGGTGTTGGCATAGGGCCTGGAGCGTGTTTCCTCTGGCTATTAGCACAAGGACGGAGAGCCGGCATTGGACTTGAAGTGTATTTTCCTCTGACTGTCTGCTTAGAGACGGAGAGCCGGCATGGGGCCTGGAAGAGACAATACTTCGACTTGAAGTTGAGGCCCCGACCATGGGGAAACCTCCCCCAACTACATATGTCTCTAGGAAGTGTAGGTATTGTTGTTGACATCAAATAGGAGAGAAACGCCATCCATTAGTCTTACTTGGTTGATATGACTCTTCGATACTTGGTTGACACGATTCTTCTACACTTAATGGGTTTCTGTTGAAGAAGTTGAGGTTCCACCATAATATCCCAATGGCCACATGCGCTCCACGTTGCCCCGTTGTTTGTTCACATGTTAGGCTTGAAAATGCTTCCGCAAAAAACAGAAAGAAAAAAAAAAGAGGTTAATTTTTGCATATATGTAACACATTTATAGTTGATCTCATGAGTTCCTTCCGTAAGGGTTTATGATATTTGTATTGACACTCTAGTAAGTAGACCTGGCATTCGTGTCGTGTTTCTCGTGTTCGTGTCATACCCGATAGCTTAACGGGTTGTGTCATGTAATACCCGTTAAAGTAAACTGGTAATATAACCCGACCCAAAATTAACCTGTTAATATTATCGGGTAATATGACCCGACCCGTTACCCGTTAAGAAAAATATATTTTAAATCAATAAAAATGAAAATGAAAAACATAATTTGACCAAAAAAAATGTAAAACATAGTACTAAATTAGTATATACATACTAAATTTCGGAGTTGACCCATTCGTGAAAGTTATAAAGCTTTTCATTACGAGTGATTACATTTTTCACACTTCTACAATAATTATTATTAATTTTGCACTCAAATAAAAAACATTGTTCATGAGATTTGGAGGGTTTTAAAAATCTAAACGACCATGTTACCATCGTCTAAGCGTTGAGGATGCAATTAGGAACATTTATTATGCTTTCACATCTTTCAGACTTATACATTAATGATTATGAATTTTGCTTATTTTGAACCCCCTTAAAAATATTATTCATGAGAGTTTGTATGGTTTTAAAATTTCACACGATCATATACCCATCCTCAAAGCGTAGAGGATGCGACTACGAGCGTTTGCATATTTTTTGCACATGTAAATTAATTATTATAATTTTTTTAATGTGTTTGGTATTTTTTTACTTGATATTTTTATTTTTAATGTGTTTTATGATTTTTAATCTTAATCTTTGCCTATAATATACTATAAAAATAAATAAATAAATAAAACTTCAATTTTAAAATTTATATTGAATAATAATTAATAAACAATATATACATATTCATTATATCTATTGTATTTTATAGTAAGTTTTTTTTAGTAGTTTAAAAAATTAAAATCATCAAAATAACTTTTTTTCGTATCGTGTCGAAACAGGTTATCCGCGTGTCACTCTCGTGTAAACCTGTTAAGGACCCATTATTAACGGGTTATTATCATGTGACCCGATAATGACCCAATTAGTTATCGTTTTGACCCGAAACCTGTTATTTTCGTGTCATTTACGTATTGTGTTAACGGGTCGTGTAAGAAATTGCTAGGTCTACTTGTAAGGTTTTATCATATTTATATGGCTAATTGCAAGACTTATCAACTCTGCATTTGGGTACTTCTATATGTGTTGGACCTACACGCTTGAAATATTGATTCAAAAATGTGTAATTTGTATTGGAATGCAAAATTAAACAAAAAAAAAACAAATGTTAACGGGTGACTCATGAGCTTAACAGGTTGAGTTTGGATGACTCATTAGCTTAACGAGTTAGGTGCGCGTGACTCATTAGCTTAACGGGTCAGGTGAAACATAACTCAAACCCAATAAACTCAACTCGTTTACAGGTTACCAACAGATAGTAAAGGGGATGAAAGTTTCGTACTCGTACCATCAAATTAAAGCATTAGACTCATCAGTTTCAATTCCTGCACTGGCTTGAAGTGGGATGGATTTAAGGCCCGAAACTTTTATTCGATACCCAATTTCTTCTTCATTTTAGGACTTTCAAACTCCTAACATATATTATGTCAAGAGTGCGGGTGTAGCGAAATTTATCATGTTGGATTTAGTCTATGTTGCATTTTTTAAACTGCAAGTTCTGTTCTCATCAGAAAGTAATATCTCATTAACTCAAGAGAAAGTAAGGAAGAGGGGAAATACTTCGACTTGAAGTTGAGGCCCCAACCAAAGGAGAGATTTTTCAGTATGACCAGTATACGGGGTGATACACCATGTGTCACTATATAAATGGTGGGATATGTGT